TCGTAATATAAGTGTTTGTACGTATACTGCGATGTGAGGGGTCTCAGAAGGATCTCAACCAAAGTACAAAGAGCAGACACACTGCAGTTACCGAACACTACCACCTGCGTTTCGTTCACCACAGTACTTTTTTCATAAATATGCCCAGCATCAAGTAATATGCTTTATAGCCATGCCTATTCGGATAAAATCAGTTCAGCTTCAGGATTCCGAGGGTACAGATATATTCAACGTCTTTATTTGGCTTTGAATCACCGGAGTCTCAATATTCATCTGCAGGAGAAGCTGGTTTTGGAAGGTTTGGTCAATTGGTTTGCGGGGCGCCGAAGGGACCACGCACATGCAGCGTGGCGACGCGCAGCTTGCGCGGCTGCCCTGTGCCAGAGACGCACACCCGTGGGTGCCTCACTTGGACTCCACCCCAGGCAACCCACCCTCTCGGCCACCAGATTACAAACACACATATCACCATATGGGACACATCACCTCTCTCCTCTGGAACCAACCGCATTGGCTTCGCTGTCCAGACAGGATCCGAGTACAAGCTGCGCGCGACAGTCTTCGAGGTGTTACACTGGATGGCGCCAGCGGATATTAGCCAAACTTTGCCTTCCAGCGGCGAGCATAAGCGAGAGACGTGGTCGCGCTGCGATCCGTGTCATCGGACGCAGTTGGAAAACTGACCGAGGAGCCGAGCGTTCCCAAATATAAATGTTGGCTCTTGTGCGCCGGTCCTGCGGCATGGAGCAGCCTAACTGCTGAGACCGGACTCGTACCAGCGCTCGAGTCTCGCAAGAGACAACTAGAGATCAGGTTGTTTACCATGTCTTTTCCGTAGTCTTGTACAGTTCTAACCAAAGTATGGTACCAGACAAGTCATCCAACTCAACATCATTATCATGATGATGTTGAGGACTCAGTCTACCACATTCACTGTTTCATCTCATCCCCACTGCATTCAAACACCACACTGCACGTCACAATACCTCTCATTCTGCTTCTTCCCTCATCTTGCTCGCATTTGTAATTCACTCCCATTGACTCTTTCCCCAGGCTCTGAAAATAATAATCCTAACAACCTTGCTCGATTCAAGAAACGTGTTAACTCAGATTACCCATACCAACTTTGAGAATACTGCTGCCTATTGCTGGCTGCTTGATGCTTTGGGCCTTCCGCCTTGTACTCAGCAACTCTGTTTAATATATACATACCTATACATATATACATACCTATACATATATACATACCTATACATATATATACCTATACATATATACATACCTATGTATATATACATCAGCCTCTGAGTCCTGTGATGTGTCACGACTGCCGATCAAGGAAGCTCATTGTCAAGCATGACATGGAGAAGCTCATTGAGAAGCGCGACACCGAGAGGCACGACGCTCTGTAGCGTGCATGCCGGTGGCAATGCCCCAGCTGGAAGGTATTGACTGGGCATGGCCCTGCAAAGGTTGCTTTAGCGTCTCTCCCCATTTCAGCGAGCTTAAGGTGTTTTATTAATCGTGCGTGGAATTGCCACGCAAACACATCATATGCGGTTACAATTTAAAATATTAAACGTCAACAGAGTTCCCAGACCAGGGTTTGTACCAACATGGGAAAATACTTTCCACCACATACAATAAATACAAAATGGAGAAACTGTTACACGCATTACTTTCCATAACTACCGCCCTTTTAGCTTATTCATAATTCAGACAACATGTATGTAACATTAAAGACATTTAAGAATTGTAAGGAATGCACGTGTATCCCAAATGCATGCCAATTAATGTTTTAATTGAATGTGTTATTAGACATCGATCTGTCATGTCATTAATTACACAGACACAGGCGTGCACATTCTATTAATATACCACTGCAGTTTGTGGTGATAACTAATTAACTGCATCTACTGACTCGGCATCGCTCCCGTAAAAAAAAAAAGGTCACACATTTCTCCCAAACGAAGACTCGCACAACTGAGAGGTAGGGTGACAGACGCCGAGCCACGTGAATGAGCGAGGCTGTAGGAGGGGATGATTAACAAACGGAGCCGAGCTGAGTCCCAAACGCTCGGGAGACGGCGGCCGGTGCCTAGGTGGAGATGAGGACGACCACTGGGCCCCTCGGCACGTGCGCGTGTGCCTTCTCTCTTTTGCACGATGGCCAAGTAAGAGGTACAAAGGCCACAAAACATCGACGGAGCGGCCAACAACGAACGGCTCCGTCAACGTCGTAAAAGGATAGGCGTGAACACGTTTGTGAAATTGAAGCAAGGTTATTGATGTGCGAGTTTGGGGATGAGAGGGGATGGGAAGAGGGAATTCCAACGTGTAGCGGTGTGATGGAAAAAGCATATAGAGAAGTACGGTGACCTGCAGTGTGGTGAGTGGGTGGTGAGTAGTTGGGTGAGTGAGTGCGTTGTTGTGAGTGGTGACCTGCAGTGTGGTGAGTGGGTGGTGAGTAGTTGGGTGAGTGAGTGCGTTGTTGTGAGTGGTGACCTGCGGAGTGGTGAGTGGGTGGTGAGTAGTTGGGTGAGTGAGTGCGTTGTTGTGAGTTGTGACCTGCGGAGTGGTGAGTGGGTGGTGAGTAGTTGTGTGAGTGAGTGCGTTGTTGTGAGTGGTGACCTGCAGTGTGGTGAGTGGGTGGTGAGTAGTTGGGTGAGTGAGTGCGTTGTTGTGAGTGGTGACCTGCGGAGTGGTGAGTGGGTGGTGAGTAGTTGTGTGAGTGAGTGCGTTGTTGTGAGTGGTGACCTGCGGAGTGGTGAGTTGGTGGTGAGTAGTTGTGTGAGTGAGTGCGTTGTTGTGAGTGGTGACCTGCGGAGTGGTGAGTGGGTGGTGAGTAGTTGGGTGAGTGAGTGCGTTGTTATGAGTGGTGACCTGCGGAGTGGTGAGTGGGTGGTGAGTAGTTGTGTGAGTGAGTGCGTTGTTGTGAGTGGTGACCTGCAGTGTGGTGAGTGGGTGGTGAGTAGTTGGGTGAGTGAGTGCGTTGTTGTGAGTGGTGACCTGCGGAGTGGTGAGTGGGTGGTGAGTAGTTGTGTGAGTGAGTGCGTTGTTGTGAGTGGTGACCTAAGGTGTGGTGAGTGGGTGGTGAGTAGTTGGGTGAGTGAGTGCGTTGTTGTGAGTGGTGACCTGCGGAGTGGTGAGTTGGTGGTGAGTAGTTGTGTGAGTGAGTGCGTTGTTGTGAGTGGCGACCTGCGGAGTGGTGAGTTGGTGGTGAGTAGTTGTGTGAGTGAGTGCGTTGTTGTGAGTGGCGACCTGCAGTGTGGTGAGTGGGTGGTGAGTAGTTGGGTGAGCGAGTGCGTTGTTGTGAGTGGCGACCTGCGGAGTGGTGAGTGGGTGGTGAGTAGTTGGGTGAGCGAGTGCGTTGTTGTGAGTGGCGACCTGCAGTGTGGTGAGTGGGTGGTGAGTAGTTGGGTGAGTGAGTGCGTTGTTGTGAGTGGCGACCTGCAGTGTGGTGAGTGGGTGGTGAGTAGTTGGGTGAGTGAGTGCGTTGTTGTGAGTGGTGACCTGCAGTGTGGTGAGTGGGTGGTGAGTAGTTGGGTGAGTGAGTGCGTTGTTGTGAGTGGCGACCTGCAGTGTGGTGAGTTGGTGGTGAGTAGTTGGGTGAGCGAGTGCGTTGTTGTGAGTGGCGACCTGCAGTGTGGTGAGTGGGTGGTGAGTAGTTGGGTGAGTGAGTGCGTTGTTGTGAGTGGCGACCTGCAGTGTGGTGAGTGGGTGGTGAGTAGTTGGGTGAGTGAGTGCGTTGTTGTGAGTGGTGACCTGCAGTGTGGTGAGTGGGTGGTGAGTAGTTGGGTGAGTGAGTGCGTTGTTGTGAGTGGCGACCTGCAGTGTGGTGAGTTGGTGGTGAGTAGTTGGGTGAGTGAGTGCGTTGTTGTGAGTTGTGGCACATCTTATAGGAACGATTATGTGTGCTGGTTTCCAGGTCGTGGGTTCTAACGGGCCGATTTGTAGTATGTGTCGTACAAATGTAAACCAAAGACGTCTGGGGGGAAGGCACAAAAACAGTAATTATTCCATACTAAAAAAAAACTCGCAGAAATGTGGGAAATGGTTGAGAAAACCCCAAATGCAGGCAAATTATTATCAGTTTATTTTTCCGAGAATATTTAGTTTCAAGTCGAAAAGACAATGAAATGCCGAAGCGTGCAGATGTGTGCTAAGCCATCCTTGTGAGGAAATGACAACTTAATCTGCCTCTGCCACCGAGGAGTGCACACGGTGCATGAGCACATCTCACGGACGGTGGCGCTGGCCACAAGTGGCCGGCGTTGTGAGCGCCCTGCACCGCTGTGTGACGCCGCCACCGCCGCGGTGCCCCGGCACTCCCATTCAAGTCAGCTGTTGGCGACGCTGCCCGTGCCCACGCAGGAGCAGCAGGAGCAGTAGGAGCAGTAGAAGTGCGTTTGCAACTGATTGTTAGCACCCTTAGTTGCACCTTGTTGATCAAAATAAGAGCCAACTTAATTAAAGGGTTGGTTTATAGCCATTGCTTTGTTAATTTGAATTACGTTAATTTGTTTAAAGCTGCACATCGCTCAACGTGCGCTGATTTATAGTTGTCTACCACTGCATGGGTGTTCGCAAGAACAGAAGTCAAAGTGATCTCCAGGTCAACTGGACATCGAGGCATTAGTGCTCATCTCCCAGTTTACAGCCCTGAGTCAGTTGTGGAAATTACCCATCTTATGGTGCGGACAAGTCGCTCCATATGACAACCACTGTTGACTTCCCCGCAACATGGTTACCATTGTATCTACTCCAGAGGAACGATGGGCTGAGTCAACCTACGACCGGGATTAGAACTCGCCAGCATTCCGATCGCTGGGCCGCCCGCCTTGCCTCTCTGATCCGGCGCGCCGGTAACCGTGCACGAGGGACATCGTCATCGCTGTGGAGAACTCTCGCGTCTAGCGCCGTGCGGGCCGCACCGAGCGGCGGCGCAGGGCGGCGGGGAGTGTCGTGCCGCGCTGTGCGAGTGCGGCGCGAGAGGGCACCTGCTCCTGCTGCTGCCTCGCGAGGTCCATCTGCTGCCGCTGCTTCTCGAGCTGCGAGGTGGCCAGCTTCTTCTGCTCGTCGTGGGCGGCCAGGAGCTGCTCGCGCAGGCTGCTCAGCTGGGAGATCATCCCGGCGAGCTGGTGCTCGCGCTCCGCCAGCCCCTCCGCCGAGCCTGGGCATGTGGCGCAAGCACACACACGCACGCACATGCACGGCGCTCGCTTAGCCAGACGTTCACCCACCCACCAAGGGCGCTGGAATGCCTCACAGCCTACAGGTGACCTGGGGCTGCCACCTTTCCCACTGTAGAGCAAACCCGGACATATTTCACAGCCAGCATGGCGTTAATTATTAAAACTGAGCGCTATCCTATGAGAAAGTTCAACACAATACAGATACCAGATCTGGGTACAATTCCACTCCTGCCGCACGGACACAGATACTATTTCCCGGACTGTCCAGGTCCAAAGGTGGGAAGTGCATCATGAATGCGTATGCTTGTGGTGAGATTGCAGCATCTTTTACGTCTACTCTTCAGCAGCACAGAATTAACATCACGCTCAAGAAAGTGCATTGCGTGTACAAAAGCCTTAACCAGACCACCAGCCCAAAATAACCGAATGTGTATCTCTTTCGTCATTTAGACCCCCAAACTCAAAGAGTTGGCTAGCGCTGAGAGAGCTCTGGTCCGCGGAATGCGCATTCCCCGAGTTTGAAGACGAATCTATTTGTTTGAAGCCTGCATTAAAGTTTCCCTTGCCGATGGGTGCTGTTGTGATGCGAGTTGCGTTGCAGGAGGCACCGCGTGCTCGTGAGCGATCCCCCGTGCCCCTCCGGTGCTCAGAGCAACGAGCAGGAGGAGGAGCGATGGCATGGACAGTGGTTGTGCAGAATGCAGCTGAGCAGGTTAATTATCGTGAGGCATTCATCTTCGTCCCCACGCATGCAGTGTGGAATTGTCCTCATCAAGCTGTCATTAAAGAATTATAGGAATAGTTTAAACTCGTATGTAGAATTGCAAAATACATGTTTTTTTCTATTCAATGGCAGATCCAATTGTTTTGAGAACACAACGGGTATTAAAGTCACTGGGGATGCTCAGAATGTCTGCATGACGGTATTAAACATCTATACACGTTCACATTTCGTTCGGGTTATGACACTTACGGGCATTTTGAAAAATAAAATCGCCCCGTACAATTTGAAACAGCCGTTGAAAGCAACAGGTTAAGTGAAAAAATATATATTTCTATTTAAACTATAGCCTCCATACGGCTTTTAAACCCTGCAATAGAGTGTGAACATTATGATTGAGACACGCATTTAAATCTGCCGCGATGTTGACTGGACTATTTAAATGCATAGCCCACGCATCGCCGTTCCTTTGCTGTTATGATCTCCGACGAGGTTATAGCATCTGGCTCTCGCCAGATCTCAGGCTCACACTCTGTTGATCCCACTGGGTAATTCGACCGTTATCGGGCATTTCCATCGGACAATTACACTTTAAAGGCAACGGGTTGAGAGGTTAGTCTGCACCTTCTAAGCCGAAATGCGACATCGGGCGGAGTTCACATCGCGTGTGGTGTGCGCAAACCCTTTTATGAGCGGACATTTGTTAGCAATAATGTTACTTTATCGTTGTAAAAAAAGAAACGTGTTTTTCAAACTATTTACTCCATTTATCAGCAGTTATCACTTTCCCTTTCATTTTGTTCTCTCAGTAATGCAGCGGGAGTCCATTAGAAATGCACGCCCGGCAGCTCGCTGAGATGATTCTATCTCCGCCTTTGCCGCCGCCGCAGCCGTGTGAACCGCGGGCAGCCGCTGAAGCGCGGTGTGCCCATCTCTCGCATCGCACCGCCGCTCCAGTGTGTGGGCATTCCACCCACCCCCCACCCACCCACCACAGCCCACCCCGACAACCACCTCCCCACCCAATGAAAGTTTTAAATACAATTATTTTTTCCCACAGTTTATAGCTAAGAATAAAACGTTACGGGGGTCGCAGACATTTTTTGTCTCCCAGTTTGCGTTTCAGCGAAAGGCTTTTTAAAATGACCTGCAGCACGTTGCGATGTGGGCTTGTTGGCAGCCGTGATTGTGTCTCCTACGGACCGGGGCAGCCAAACATCCCCCTCCCGCACCTCCGATTAGCACGGTTGTCTTCATGCAGTGTACGAAAGAAGTTCAACATACGTACAACATGAGGAGCGTCTCCTCGGTACACCGCTCACTCTGGCCGCACAAGCTGCGGTGGTTACAAATGGTTAAAGTGATACTCTGCTCAAATGACCATTAAGGCATTGGTGCTCATCCCTTTACAGTGGTGTACGTACCACCTTATTTTAGCGGGCATAAGTCTAATCGTACATGGGGCAACCGCTGCCGCTGTTGGCTTTCCCCACAAATTGGCACTCATTTTTTGTTTATCAACCCTGGAGGAATGATGGGCTGAGTCAACCTCCCAAACCAGGATTTGAACTTCTTAATATTACGCGTCCCCAGTCTCTACAATGGCGTGCACTTTGTTGATCGTTATCATTAAGTTTGAGCAGGATCGCAGCACAATCGTGAGAAGAAAGTGCATTTGGCATAACGTGGCAACTTCGCAGAAGCGCCTTCATCCACTGAAACTTTACTTTGCAAATGTAAGTATCGTGTAGCGTTGTTTTATTGTGCATAACATTCTTGCACAAAAAATGTAACAAGTTACGAGCAATTTTTTACCGATTTGTATTAACTTCAGCTGAATCACTCTTTGACAAACAAGCTGCAAGGTAATGGGCAGCGTTGAGTCGTGGCTCTCGCGTTTCTCCGTAATCCCAGGGCCGATGCCGGTCATTGGCGGTGTAGACGGCTGCCCTTTAGCTACGGAAAGGGGGCATGCAGTTGCCCCTGGGAGGGTTCGGCAGACGCTCACCGGCGCTCACCGGCGCTCACCACAAACTGCGACCTCCGGGCCCGCGCTTGCGTTGACGTTCTGAACAATGCAGACGCGACGACGTCAAGCACGCGAAAGATGCGCGTGCCATCGTTATCAAGGTCCCATCTCCAATTGTTGACATTTGCAAAAGATAAAGGCATGCTAGATGGCAGACAACTTTACCCATGTCCAGCTCCTACTTGACGATAAGGAGCCCCCTTTGAACGCCCCAAGAGACTGAGATTTACATCGGTTCCTTCGTTGACTAGACGTGAGACAAGCACGGCATGGGCTACTCGCGCTCGATAATGGGGCGAGCACGAGCCAAGCAAGGAAACCGTTTGAGGAATGTCACGTGACGTGATGTATTCAGTCGCGCAATCTCCGAACACATCCATTTAAGCTGTTATATTTAGCTCGTATATATGTCACACGATGGTCACATGAGCGTGCGCGTCATGACAAATAGCGGTAAGAACGCCGTTGGGACTCGGCTATTTTTACTTCATGTAGAGGTTCGCCGTTGCGATGACAAGTTCCCTAGCGTGCCTCCTGCCTGTCTCAGACACGAGCGTGCCCCCTGGTCCAGCGAGAGATTTGACGTCACGTTTCCTGAAAGGACCAGTGGATAGAAAAATTCACAAGCAGCACAGCCTCCCCAATGACACGTGACGCAGCACGACGAAGTGAAACCAGATTTAGCTGAGTTCCAAGGTCAGGCGTGGCCAATAATTGTCGTGAAATTCACAACGTGAAACGGAGCCAAACCTCTGGAAGCTGCACTAAGGGGGGGGGGGGGGGGCAGAACACTTCTGGTTGTGAGGGATGTCTGGCATCCTGGAAATAATTAACTATCAGGTGCATAACGACATAGGAATTGTCTTTACACGTAACCACAGTAAATAACTAAGCAACAACTACATATTTACAATCTAGCATTGAAAATGTAAACACGCTTTCGACAATAATGAACCTCATGGTGGGACCCCGGGGTCCCATAAGGCCCCGGCTCTCGCACAAACTGCACTGCGACGTCGTTGTATGTCTGTCGAGGGCGAACGACACGGCGATCTCTTCCTCTCGACGAGCTCTACGCTATGCGCTAATCAAAGTTTAAAAGTTTTGTTTATGACTACGGCAATTTTTGCAAGGACGGGTGCTTGGTGAAGAACGAGAGGATTGATTTCTGGTGGGTTATGGCATCTATGTGCGCGGTGGGACGGAGTCAGCAACAAAAATAATGAATTACGATATGTTTTATTCGGGACCCCGGGGTCCCGCTATTAGGTTCAATTCACTGCATGGTGCAGTAGTCTTGATAAAGAGTGCATTAGGTACCACCTACGCAAAAATGTTGTGTTTGGCTTGTACAACGTGGAATACACGTGGATGAATTTCCTTGTTGTACTTTGACTTAATTGACTAATGCCACTTTTAGTTGAACAATTCATTGCAAGACTGAAAGGGAATGTTTTCAAAGTATGAGAACAGTGCGAAAAAGGGTAGCACGCCTGACACACCGATATTATTGTTTTATCCTTTTTCGATACGATTCGAGGAAGTTGTCAACCGTAACTAAAAGACGGCCCACGGGGTGAGGAATGAGTCGGGCAAAATGAGGAGTCAAGAACCAGCGGCCCAGCCGCGCACAACCCCTCCCCACCCCGAGCCCGTAGGCAGCACCTGCACCGCAGCTCGGTGGCGCACGCCGGGCTCACAGCTGTGTCGGCGAGCGCTCACGGCGAGCGCTCTCAAACAGGGCAACCTTCCACCTGCCTCCACCAGACAATCGTCAGAGCAGTGTGAAAACAAATCCCTTAATCAGCTGACAAGAAAGTCCAGGACTTAGAAACAGCTAAACAATGCCATCAATCAGCAGATCAATACCACTAATGGCCAAACAGTTGCAATAAAATGAATCTTACGCAGATGGTGCGCCAACTAATGTTCGACAGTGAAGTATTTCCAACGGGAACTCGCCGCCGCCACCGCAGAGTGTCGTCCTGCCTCCCTTATTTACCCAAAACAAGACGGGGGGGGGGGGGGGCAGGGTGGAGAGTTCACCGCCGTCCACTCATGGAATGAGATTGCAAGCCAGCCGCAGCACACAATGCTGTCGGCCCATGGCGACCAGGCCCTCCACGATTGAAGCCCCACAGGCGCCTCCTGGCCCTGCCCAGTGGTCCCAACGATGACGTCCTCAAGTTTGTAGATGCTTCATCGGCACCCTTCTGTGTGTAATGGGT